TTACCTTACGTTTGCACAGTTGTTCAGCAACCGTGATAGTGATATGTATATTGTCGCAACTTCGCTCTGCAACACCACTTGAGTTTTCTTTCCAGATCCAATAAATTTCTCATCTCCTCCTTACTAAAAACTGAGGCAAAACGACTTATTTAGTACTTCTGCAGCTTGTGTAACATAATTAGTCATATCCACACCCAACTCCACCTTCACTGGCCTTATTCCATCTCTTTTTCTTTTAATGTAACTGAAAACCTGACCAGTTTCAATGAGGGTTGGATATGACTTTTGGAGGCTGCTCTCTATATCAAAGGTGGAACAGCACATAACTTGTACTGCGACCCATTGGGAATCTGTCTGATGTATTTCACAGGATGTTCACTGTACAGACAAACCTGTTTATATAAAATCTATTGGTTCAAACATTATCTTTTAATAGAAGATGCTCTGGAATTAATTTCAAAAGATTGGCAAGATTTACTTTCAGTGCTGTCTGTGTAGCTCATCAGCCAAGTCAGATGTTGAGTATTAATTTCTTCCTTGAATTCGATCTGGTTTTTCATTTACCAACAAATGCACAATGGTTCAGATTAATGCTGATACTAATCCTCTTTTGGCAAGTTGACATAATAGTACAAAAGTGTTATTGTAGAAAATATTCAAGGCAATAGTTGACACGCTCTATTTTACCATTAACCAAGCAGTTTAGTTTGCAGATTTAAATTGTAGCATTATCTACAGTAGAGCACCAATAATTTTGTACATAAATGGAATACTTCCAATATAGCAATGAGTATGTTCTACCAGTCAGTCATTGTTGTTCATGAATGAGATCTTCGTCCTCACCTTTAAGGCCATCCATGGCCTTACCCCCTCCTACCTCTCTGACCTACTGACTCCCTACGAGTCTGCCCGCTCCCTCCGTTCATTGGGCTCCGGCCTGTTCCATGTCTCCTGCCTGACCCGCCCTACCATCGGTGGCCGGACGTTCAGCCTCTCTGCCCATCCATCCCACGGTCTCTTCACATCGCTTCCTCCCTTGCCTCCTTCAAGGCCGGTCTCAAGAACTTTCTCTTCGACCGTGCCTTTGGTCTCCCTTCCACCTCACTGCCTTCCCTCACCCCTACACCACCAACCACCTCCCCCATGCTCGGGCCCCGACACCTGACTGTTCAGCGCTTTGGGACATCCTCCCGACGTGAAAGGCGCTCTATAAATGTAAATTTGTTGTTGTTGTAAGCTGAGCTGAGCCTCCAGTTGGAAGATCAGATAAAAGGTTCAATCAATTAATGAAATTAAAGAAATTAGGAAAATATCTATCAATTTATTTAATGTAATGAACAATCCTTGTATGTGAATAAACATAATATGTTCCTTAAGCGCAGTTTCTTGTTTTTTTCTTATTTTTAAATTAAGAGCAATATTTTTTATATTTATAAAGTGTTTTTCATGTGGGTGGAATCTCAAAATAATTCACACAGTTGGTGGGAGCTCTTAGGAGGGTGGAAGGGGAAAGGTGACGGAAAGCACAGTCGAAAGGTTAAGTCTTGAGACTTCTTTAACGTATTAATACTATTAACCAGTCTCTCTCCTCAGGATCAGACCCACTCCCCCTCAAAATCGCCGTCAGCACCACCCTCTTTAAAAAAAACGTACGCTCGATCCCTCCAACCTCGGTCACTACTGCCCTTTCTCAAACCTGCCCTTCCTGGCCAAAGCTCAGGAATGCGTTGTTGCCAACTAACTGCGCACACCTCTCCCTCCACACCCTACTCAAACCCCTCCAGTCTAGTTTCCGCCCTACCCACAGTACAGAGACAGCACTCGTGAAAGTCACAAATAATATTCTTTCTGTCTCTGACCAGGGCTCCCTCTGCCTCCTTGTACTCCTGGCCAACTTTGGCGCGTTCGACACAGTCGATCACACCATCCTCCTCCACTGCTTATCCTCCATCATTCACCTCAGTGGGACCACACTCGCTTGGTTCGAGTCTTATCTTACAAATCACCAGCATTACATTTCTGCAAATGGCTTTTCTTCACACTTCCACCCGGTCACCTGCGGGGTACCCCGATGATCCATCCTTGGCCCCCATCTCTTCCTCATCTATATGCTCCCTCTCGGTGATGTCATCCGTACACATGGGGTTAACTTCCACATGTATGTGGATGACACTCAACTCTACTTTTCCACCTCCAGCTGCGACCCCCAGTCCCCTGATGTTCTGTCAGCTTGTCTGTCGGACAGCAAGAGCTGGATGAGTGCAAATTTCCTGCAGTTAAACCTCAATAAGACGGAAGCCATACTCTTTGGCTCCCGTTGACGTCTTCTGTCCCATAGTTCCGACCTCCTCAACCAACCTGACCTGTCCGAATTCATGCACAACTTAGGCATCAGGTTCGATCCCCAGTTATCCTTCCACCCCCACATCCGGTCCCTGATCAGCACCGCTTCTTCCACCTCCACCACATTGCCCGTCTCCGACAATACCTCATCCCAAAAGCTGCCGAACCCCTGGTCCATGCCTTTGTCACCTCTCGGCTGGACTACTCTCACGCCCTCCTCGCCAGTCTCCCCTACTCCACTATTCACAAAATCCAGCTCATTCAAAACTCCGCCGCCTGCATTCTCACCCACACCGAACTTCATACCCCGATTACTCCAGTCCTTGCCAAACTCCACTGGCTCAGACAGAGTGGATCGACTTCAAGATCCTTACTCTAATGTTCAAATCCCTCCATTCCTTGGCATCCCCCTATCTCTCTAACCTCCTCTCGCCACAGCAGTACCCGCTGCCTCCGCTTTACTGGGTCCAGCCTCCTCCGTGTCCCTCGAATCGTTCGCCTCGACCCCTCCTTCCCCATCTTCAGGTCACGCCTGAAGACCTTCCTCTTTGACCGTGTCTACGGTCACCTTCCCCCTCCCACTGCCTTGGCCTTGGGTTCCGCCATTGTTAAGCGACCTGAGAAGCCACCCGGCAAGGAGGACGCTATATAAACGCAAGTTGTTGTTCTTAATTTCCTCACAGTGGAGAAAAGAGGAGGATGAGAATGTAGGAAGGCGTATTTAGAGTTACAGGAAAGGAGGAAACCTTGGAAGAGCCATAGTGTATCAATAAAATAGAGAAAGGATAGAAAAAGGAGTGATAGAGGAGTGAAGAAAAAGGGTAGAGGTGAGAGAAGCATTATCTGTCAGACAATGAGTTCTTTTTGTATTCTGATCTGGAGCGGAAGAGCTTCCTCAAAAACTGAAACAGTATTCAATAATAATAATCCTTGCATTTAATATAGAGCCTTATCACGTCATTGAGACGTCTCAAAGGATTTCACAGAATATATTGTAAAGTGGATTGACTGTATTTTGTGGGCGAAATTCAATCTATTCAAGTATTGAGCATGTAGAGCGTTAAGAGTTATTGAAGAATAAATAAGTGTTTGTCAGAAAAGAGGAAGCCAAGCTGCTTGGAGTCAGATTTAGTGATAGAGGAGATATAAGCATTCCATTGAGATCGGAGGAGATAATAAGACCAAGAATGTTGATGGATGAAGAAAGATGAATAGTAAAACCATCAAAGAGGTAAGATGTGGTGGCCATTGATTAGGACTTATGGGAGACGAACAGAAACTGCCTTTGAAGTACACAAAGAAACTAGATTTTCATTATCCCATTGATGGTGATTTATCTATTGCAAGAGGAATGAAGGACATTTGCACTGATGGTGAGCAATCTGAAGGAAACTAATAAGGGGTGGAGGCCATTAATGTGAAGAAGAAACAAAGTGGGAGAGGGAAAACAATCCCTGAGGAACTCTTGGGCTGATGGAAAAGAGGCAGAAAATGAATGACTAACTGAAGCACTGATAACAACAACAACAACAAGATTACATTTGTATAGCACCTTTCACATCGGGAGGACGTCCTAAGGGGCTGGACAGTGTACAGCATTTCAGACCCGAGCAGGGATCGGGGGGGGGAGAAGGGAGGGGAGGGGAAGTATAGTGGCTGCTGGCATGGTTGAAGAGGAGTGTTTTGAGGTGGGACTTGAAGGAGGCTAAGGAGTGGTCGAGGTGGAGTGATTGGGGATGGAATTCCAGAGGTTGGGGGCAGAGTGGCTGAAGGCTCTCCCGCCAATGGTGGGGCAGGTGATACGGGGGATGTGGAGCAGGCCAGAGCCGGCTGAGCGGAGGGAGTGGGCAGGTTGGTAGGGGGTTAGGAGGTCACAGAGGTAGGGTGAGGCGAGGCCATGGGGGGCTTTGCAGGTGATTAGGAAGGAAATAAAATTGCCATGAATATAATAATCCTTGCATTTTATATAGCGCCTTACCATGTCTTCGAGATGTCTCAGAAAGCGCTTCACAAAATATCCTGTCCAGTGAATTGACTTTATATGTTGTAGGCAAACTGAGTAAATAAATTGGTCACTCAAACTGTTTGTGGGACACTGCTGTGCACAATTGGCTGCCGCGTTTTGCCCACAAAATGTACAGTCAATTCACTTTACAGTATATTTGGTGAAGCACTTTAGACGTCTTGAAGACATGATAAGGTGTTATATCAAATGCAAGGATTATTATTAATTGGTGAATGACCATATGATAAATTCTTTACACATTCATGGTGCAAAATCCTACACATAGGTGTGATGATTATCAGTGGAGCAGCTATGCAAATTTTGTATTGGAGTGGATGGATAATTTGATTATAACTTGTACACTTTGGCATGTCCCGATGTAAGGTGGTAATTTGAAGGGTTGGAGACATCACATTTTTAGGGCTAGGATAAACAAATAATTTTTTAAGAAGGAAAGGTGAACTTTGAAATACAAGTCTCAAGAATCAGAGGGATATCAACATGACTACTGTATTTTAAAATGTTAAGTGTAATAGTAATAATAATTCTTGCATTTCATATAATATGAGATGCTTATGGTTTATGGAGTCATGGAAGATATTGAAATTAATACATTTTATAATAATGCCACATTATTATTGATTGTTGCCAGGTTGGTTGAAAACATTTGATGACTACTACAGAGATCAGACGCAGCATATCCTAAATAACATGGTGGTGAAGCTACAGGAAGATATTCGTAGGAGGTTTATGTGGACTGAGATTTCGTACTTCTCCAAATGGTGGGACAGCATAGATAGCCAAAAGAAAGATGCTGTCAAAAGGTTTGTACTTTTGCAAAATATTTTCCTACTGTAATGATAATAGAGCATGACTAAAATCATTAATTAATATTAAAGTGTTCCAAAGCTAGCAATTCTAATCAGGATCTCGGTTTGGGTGATATCTGTACCAACCGATATTGTTGCTGAATGTTTAACCCATCAAATATGATTTTCATGTTTGTGCATTGCACCTAGTGGAATGTCCACTAATGTTTCCTTGGGAACAGAGATGCCTAAAGCAGTGCTAAAATACAAGTAAATAGGTTGAATACTAGATGTGTTCCATTGGTGTCTTGGTTGAACATACCTACTGAATAGTAAATGATGATTGCCTGAGAGTTCACAATTCCATTTAAAAAAAAGTAACATGCACAATGATAGAGATAGTGTCTGGTTTAATCCTTGCATTTGATATACAGGTCTTATCACGTTGTTGAGACATTCTCGAAGCATTTCACAGGGTAAATTGTAGAGTGGATTGACTGTTTATTTTGAGGGTGAAACAGTTTATCGATACAACTTCTGTGGCTCTTCCCTGTCAAAAAATATACTGAATCAAACAGGTTACTCATTGTCCCATCTACAGTATATACCCTATAACCTGATCCTATCTGAATCCCTCTGTGTATTGTGATGCGATTTTGAAATGTGCGATTGGTCTATTAAAAAATCACTTAAGATGATATAAACCAAAAACCTATCCTGTATTTCTTCAAGAAATGTATTTTTTAGAAATCAACTGACAGATACAGATAGTTGAAAATTCATGTGTCTTTCAGCAAAAATCCGTAAACGCCATTTAACTTTCCTATGTTTTTCCATTATTATATTAGAATATAATGGATACCTAGAAGGATTTATGTGGTATAATTTTCTAAACAAAAAGATTCCTGACTATTTACAATCTTTATAGTAATAATAATAATAACCTTCATATCCTACTTTCCTACTCAAATTCAGACAGCAACTTGGAAATCACTTGATGGAATTTGTTTGAAATATCTTTTTTAATTTTTGGAAGGACTTTTTGTTCTTTATTCTGCAAACAGTAATTGACACACTTCATATCCTTGTTTCACAGTGTTGTTCTCATGAGAGAAATGATGTGCAGTTGAGTACTGAAATTGTTTATAATAAAGGATCATAGAGCCATATATATATAAGTAGGAGGTCATTTACTCCCCTCTTATACTTAAATTCCCAGCAGAATGATAGTTTGTGTAATATAAAAACAGACCCCATGATAACAAACTTTGTTATTAATATAACCCGCAAAATACTGCAGATGCCGGAAATCTGAAACAAAAAGCTAGGTGGGAAAGTAAGCTGTAAGGAGGACACAAGGTGGATGCAAAGGGATATAGACAGGTTAAGTAAGTGGGCAAGAAGGTGGCAGATGGAGTATAATGTGGGGAAGTGTGAAGTTGTTCATCTAGGTAGAAAAAATAGAAAAGCCGATTATTTTCTAGAGGGGGAGAGACTAGATAGTGTTAGTGTGCAGAGGAATTTGGGTGTCCTTGTACACCAGTCACAGAAAGTTAGTAGGCACGTACAGCAACTAGGAAGGCTAATGGCATGTTAGCGTTTATTGCAAAGGGGATAGAGTACAAGAGTAGGAAAGTCTTACTGCAATTGTATAGGGCCTTGGTGAGACCGCACCTGGAATATTGTGTGCAGTTTTGGTCTCCTTATGTAAGAAAGGATATACTCGCCTTAGAGGGGGTACAACGTGGGTTTACTAGTTTGGTTCCTGGGATGAGGGGATTGACCTGCGAGGAGAGGTTGATTAGACTAGGCCTATATGCTCCAGAATATAGAAGAATTAGGGGTGATCTTATAGAAACCTATAAGATTCTTATGGGTATATCTTAAGATATCGACCACGCTATCCTACTCCACCGCTTGTCCTCCCACCTCAACCTTCAAGGCACTGTCCTTGAATGGTTTAGGTCGTACCTTTCTCACCGTCTTCACTTTGTCTCAACGAATGGCTTCTCCTCCACCCCCCGTACTGTCTCATGTGGTGTCCCTCAGGGCTCTGTCCTCGGTCCCCTCCTCTTCACCCTCTATATGCTCCCCCTCGGTGACATCATCCGCAGACATGGAGTTAACTTCCACATGTATGCGGATGACACCCAACTCTACCTTTCCTCCTCTACTCTCAACTCCACGACCACCGATGTCCTGACAGCTTCCTGTCCGACATCGAGTCCTGGACGAGAGACAACTTTCTTCAGCTCAACGTGCGAAAAACCGAGGCCCTCCTGATTGGCTCACGTCAGCGCCTCCGCACCTCAGGCGCTGACACCATCAGCATCCAAGGCTGCACTCTCCACCTCTCAAAGCCAGTCAGGAACCTCGGCGTTTTGTTCGACCCTGAGCTGTCCTTTCTCCCTCACATCCGCACCACAACTGGCACCGCCTTCCATCACCTTCGGAACATCGCCAGACTACGGCACTACCTCACCCCTCACGCTGCTGAAACCCTGGTCCACGCCTTTGTCACCTCAAGGCTGGACTATGGGAACTCTCTCCTCGCCGGCCTTCCCGACACCTCCCTCCACAAGCTGCAGGTCATTCAGAACTCTGCAGCTCGTGTACTGTCCCGCACCAGGCTTCGGGACCACATCACTCCCACCCTCGCTCGCCTCCACTGGCTCCCCATCCCCCAGAGGATCGAATTCAAGATCCTCATCCTCACCTACAAGGCCATTCACGGCCTTGCTCCCTCCTACCTCTCCAACCTACTATCCCCCTATCTACCTGCCCGTACCCTCCGTTCCTCTGGCTCCGGTCTGCTCCACGTCCCCCGCCCCAACCGCCCTATCATCGGTTGTCGGGCCTTCAGCCTCTCAGCCCCCAGGCTCTGGAACTCCATCCCCCAGTGCCTTCGCCGCTTCCTCCCTTTCCTCCTTCAAGGCCGGTCTCAAAACCTTTCTCTTTGACCGTGCCTTCAGCTCCTCTCTCGACTCTCTTCCCCCTCCTCGCTCCCTCCCTTCCCTCCCCTCACCCTGACCATTTCCCCCTCCTTGCTCCCTCCCTCCCCTCACCCTGACCATTTCCCCCCTGCTCGGGTCATGACCCAACTGTGCAGCGCCTTGGGACGTCCTCCTGACGTGAAAGGCGCTTTATAAATGGAATCTTGTTGTTGTTGTTGTTGTCTTGACAGGGAAGATAGTGTGAGACTGTTTCCACTGGTTGGAGAATCTAAAACTAGGGGTTATAGTCTCTGGATTAAAGGTCAGCCCTTTAGAACTGAGTTGAGAAAACATTTCTTCACTCAGAGGGTAGTGAATTTTTGGAATTCTCTACCCCAGAAGGCTGTGGATGCTCAGTCATCGAACATATTCAAGACTTAGATCGATAGATTTTTAAAAACTAAAGGTATTAAGGGATATGGGGATAGGGCGGGTAAAGGCAATTAGGTTAGAAGATCAGCCAAGATCTTATTAAATGGCGGGGCAGGCTTGAGGGACAGAATGGCCTACTGCTCCTTTTTCTTATGTTCTTATGTAAAACAGAAGTCGCTGTGAACTCTCGGGTCATAGACCCGAAACGTTAATTCACTTTCCTTTCTCCATAGATACTGCCTGACCTGCTGAGTATTCCCAGTGACTTCTGTTTTTGTGTTATTAATATGGCTGCCATCACTTACTGCGTGATGAGCATGTGTGCTATGTGCAGGAAGGGTTGCCAGCATCACTTCCTGTCTAGGTATAGTCAGAGGCCACTCAAACCAATCTACCGCCCTAGGCAAAACTTCAGTATGGCGCCCTCCTCCAATCCCCTCTCACCTGGTTACACCCATCTTCAACATAAAAAGCTTCTATCGCCTATGACCACATCATCACAAACATTGGTCATGGTATCAGTATCAATGACAATTTGCCTGAACCACTTTGTTGCTACTTTTGTGCCTTTTATTTGCCTGCCTTTAATCCAGGCGCTTCCTGAGAGACGCAACTAAACTAAGCGGCTAACCAGCACAGTGATTGAACCCAGCCAAGCAGTCCTGTAGCTTAGTGGTTAGATCACTCGCCTCACAAGTGAGGGGACCTGGGTTCAATTCCCGGGGCAGTGCGAAACGTTAGACAAGTTTCCTTACTCCACACACCTCTGTTTACCTAGCTGAAAGGAGGAAACCGGTTGTTAGTTGATTGATTGGCGGATCGGTTTTCCGGGCGTAATAATCCCTTCAAAAAAGTAAAAATAATAATAGTATAATATAAATAAAATAATAATAATAATTTGATCACTCAATCTATGACTGTTTGTGGGACACTGCTATGTGCAATTGGCTGCTGCGTTTCGCCCACAGAATATACAGTCAATTCACTTTACAGTATATTCTGTGAAGCGCTTTGAGATGTCTTGGAATACGTGATAATGCGCTATATCAAATGCAAGGATTATTATTATTATTGAATTGTTCATATTAAAAGGAAAGTACTTTCAGTGTATAGAGAATAAATCCATTAACTGAATACCTCTTTATGGTAGTTGCATGAATGGATCTGTGAACTAATTTTATTGCACTAAAAAAAGACTGAAAAAGAATACCAGACAGAAAGATTGGCACTATTCACTGTTGTGGAAAATATTTTTATTGCAATGAACATTAATACTCTCGCAATGGAAAATAATTCAGTTCTCCCGTATCCAGTACCTTTGTCATGTTCAATAATAATAATCCTTAAATTTGACAGAACTCCTTTTCACAAAAGGGGGATGTCTTTAAAGTGTAGTGACTGTGTCTAAGTGAACAGGGCAATTTGCACTGTCTAAAAGTCTTACAGTCTTGAGAGAATATTATTTAAAGGTGTATAAAATTTTAAATGGGTTTGAAAAAGTAAACCCAGGTCAATACTTTAGGATCCATCAAGACAATAGAACAAGGGAACGAGCTGGGGTGGTAAATATCGGGAGCCAATCACAGGGGCACTATCTTTTCCCGATTTCCCATATAGCCAGTCGGACCCTGTAGTTGCCACTTTACTTTT